AGATGGTCTGGCCATTTGCTACCTGGTGTGTTCTGTCCTACTGTGTGCCTGACATCTGTCTGAGGGCCACTCTAAGTCACTGTCTCTTTTGTTTATCTTTTTTTCCTAGAGTTCCTAATCAGGCCCAACTGCAGCTCCTCAAGCTGTAGGGAAAATACGAGCTTGTGTCTGCCCTTCTCCTTAACTTGTTCTCCTCAGAAGTGAGTGGAACTCCCCACCCTTCGCTCATACGGTCACATGACAAGCACTGTTAAGTGCAATATTACCTGTCTTCTGATGGCCAGTGAGAGCTGAGCCCAGCTAGGACTCAGACTTTCGGACAGACTCGGTGTTAGCTGAAATACTATCTGGGTATGCAGACAACTGAGCTGTCTTTCATTATTACTGTTGTTATAATTACCGGCATGTTTGTGGTGTGTGCGCATGTGTACATGAGTGTGGCTGACAGAGGTTGATGTCCAGTGTCTTTCTTAATTGCTCTCTATCTTATTTACTGAGGTAGGATCTCTCTTCTGAACCCAGAGATTGCCAATTTGGCTAGTCTAGCTAGTCTTCTATCTCAGGGATCCCCTCTGTCTATGCCTCTCGAGCACTGGGATTACAGGTGAGCTGCCATGCCCACCTTACTTTTTATGTGAGTCCCGGGGATCTGAATTCTGGTCCTTATGCATTTGTGGCAAGCACTTTACCCACTGAGACATCTCCAAGCCTTATTATTACTGTTATTATTATTATCATTTTGAGACATGCTCTTGCTATGCGGCTCAGGCTGGCATTGAACTCCTGATCCTCTTGTCTCAACCTCCTGTGTGTTGGGCTTACAGGTGTGTGTGCCTGACTGTACAACTAAATTCTGATTAGAACAGAATGTGTCATATGGGTTTTTAAACTTTAGTTTTAGTTTTGTTTGTGTCCATCAATACAGTTAGGGATTGATCATTATGGTGGTGACAGGTCATAATCACTGACATCTCTCATGGTGTGGAACAGAGAGTGGGTGAAACTCATCCTGGGATAATGACCTCCCACCTGTCTCTGGGGTCTACCTTGTGGACTTCTGGGGAATAGGGGAGTCACAGGTCATGCCGGAGGGCCTTAATGGTGCAGGGCAGGCATAGGAGGGTCTTTGCTCCTCCTTCTGGCATCCTGCTGGGGCAGCAGAGGGGAGGTACATGGTTTGGAGGAAAGAGAGGGAGGGCAGGGATTCCTGGGGCCCCTCCCACATTCATTGCTGAGCCCCAACACTGGGTTGGCAGCTGTCTCCCAGATCTGCTAGAGGGTCCGTCTTCCATGGATTCAGCTCCTGCCACTGTGCCCCTAGGATGTGGCTTTAAGGAGATCAGTTGTGACAGCAGCCACCTTGTTGCTTAGTCCTTAAATGTGGCCCTACCCCTGCAGTTTCCATGGCTGCACTGCCTCTTCTGAAACTTATCCCTCTGTTAAACCATCTTCAGCTGTTGTTCTGGGGCATCCTAGCCGGGACACAGCAGGACTGAGGCTGAGAAAGCTGTTCCATAGAGCCATGAAAGGACCCTCTAGAAGATGGCTGGGCATGTTCACACTATGCACTCTGTCTGGAAAACACTAGAAAAAAATGGGCCTGGGGAACAATCATGTATTAACACAATGGAGGTCAACAGATGTTCTAGATGTCCCACTGACACTCCCAGGGGACAAATCTGGGCTGCACACTGTGAATGAGACCTTGAGCCTGCAGTGCACACATGTTGGGGCACTCTCTGTGTGTCTGTAAAATGAAGCTGTCGATATGCCTGATTCATGCAACCATATTTAGGATAGGGCCAAGTTATCTGGGACAAGTACCCACAACCTTGGCAGCTCTAGGATGTAGCAATACAAAAAGCCCTGTGTGGGAGGGTTAGGGCTCGGAGAGTGGAGGACAGAACTTGAAAAAGAGCATGCCTGAAACAGAGCTTCTTGGGTTGTGGGCTGTACCTTGCTCCAGGCTTGTAAAGTTAGTTTAGAGGTTGCAGCTAACACTAAAAAGTGGAAGAGGGGATTGAGGAGATGGCTCAGTAGTTAAGAGCATTGGTTGCTCTTGCAGAGGACCGAGCTTCAGTTCCCAGCACCCACATGGTGGCTAATAATCATCCCTGACTCCAGTTCCAGGGATCTGACACGCTCTTCTGACCTCCGTGGGTATTGCATGACATGGGTGTACTTAACACACATGCAGGACAATACACTCATACACACACAGAAATATACATATGTATATAAAGTGGAAGAGATCATGGCAGAAGAGGGGGTGGACAGACTGTAGGAGCCAGGGGTAGTGTATGACCATAAGAAGAGTTTTCTAGGCTTCTGGTAACTTGCTCATATGAACTTACAGCAATGATGATAGCATGCACAAGACCCATGCAAACTCAATCAGACCAAAACCCAGGATAGAACTGGGGAAATGGGCAGGAGGCCCAAACCTTGGCCAATGAACTATTGGCAGCTGATCACTGCTAGGTAAGGGAGAGTTGGTTGTCTTTAAAGAAGTGATGCTAGATAGGCTGAACAGGCTCCAGTGAATGAACTCACACCAAGAGACACCCGGGTACACAAACTTGACTCTATAGGCCTTGCCATATATGACAAAAAGCATGAAATCTGGCGGTCAAACTATGGGGGGGGGTTACATAAAGGGGAGGGGGTGCAAATATGTAGTGTATGAAATGCACAAATAATAAAAATGTATATTTAAAAAAGTGAAAGAGAAATGCTCAGGGTCCCTTACATCCAGGCGAAATCCCCTGGGTGACATTTTGTTCTATATATGTATGTGCGTTGTGGGTTGTGATGGGAAAATGCATATATGTGTATGTGCACATGTGTGTGCACATGTGTGTGTGTGCATATATAGGCACACGTACATACACACACTTACAATGGGGTATGATTCACAAAAGAAAGTTTCAAATTTACTGGGCAGATAGTGAAAGGAAGACATAGCTAGGCACTGGAAGAAGCAAGTCTGTGATTTTGTAGATTAACTCACACAGCCGTGTAGGTAAATTCTAATTTCACCATGTAGGAGCTTTGTGCTCTTGGGCTGCTTACACAAACTAATGTGGACCTCTGCGAAAAGTATGAGACTGGAAGCTGGTAGGTCACTGTGCCGTGGACAGATGTGAAAAGGTACCTAGCATGCGGCCTAGCACACAGTATGTGTGCAACAGGCACACAGTAGGGATGCAGTAGATAAGAGACTTAGAGACTCCCTGCACAGGGTGAGGGGGGTACAATCAGGTGACTTAGAGACTGCCTTGTATGAGTTCTTGAAGCCCTTGCCTGCCATTGAGCCTTAAGCCAATCCCAAGGATGCAGGAGCCCTCGGGAACTTGAATTATTAGACACACCCGGCACTTATTTAATCAGGCGGAATCACAACATTCAGCTCTGCTTTCCTGTTTTGGAAAACACAGCAGGCAGATGCAGCCAGGGTGCCTCTCTTGGCCTGGTGCCTGGTCTTAGAGGTGGCACAGTGTCTCCAGGAAAGCCAGGTTCTAGGATGCCTTCAGGCCCACTGGGTTTCTAGTTTATTTTTCAGATACTGCAAAGGTGTCCTCTAGGGTAGGCCAAGGGAATGAGGTCATTTACGAGGTCCAGATGTGAAGATGTGGCCTGTCCCCCTGCTGCTTTTACCCCAGATCCTAGCCAGAAAGTCCTGCCCTAGGGGCCTTGGAGGAGGGCCTCTGCTGTGCTTGGAGCTGCCCCCTGTATGGGTCAGTAGACCCCTGACCTTGGAGCCCCAGGCCTGCTATTTGAGTCTTCTCTTAGTAAGACCATGGGATAAGTGCATTGTTGAATCTATTAAAACCCTCACCCCTGGGTGATGGGTAATAAATGAAGGTTTACTGAACATCTTCTGAGGTCAGGTGTTGACGAACCCCGCTGTTAAGGTCGACTCCCTTTCTCAGCGGGGGGCCTCCTGTTCTCTGCCTGACTTATCTGGAAAGTGCCTCCAAGCACAGATGCCTGACCTTATTTGGAATATGACCTTGGGCATATCGTTACCGACAATAAAACTGCCCCCAGGTTTTTCCTATATGATAATTAGGCATTGCACTATAGTCAGATGATAGGATCCCCCTACCACATTAAATAAAGCATACTATGAACACCTATCAGCTGAGGCTTTGGCTGCTGCCTCCACACTATATTTTTCCCTCACCCCCACTGAATAAACGGAGCTGTTTCACTGAATCTGCCTCCCCGGAAGGTTTTTTCCGTCACGCTCACTGGCCGTCCTGACCCCGTTCTTCACTTCTGCTCCCTTTGTCCTCGTGGGTCGGTGACCAACGGTCCACGAGGGGAGGGAGAGACCCACAGTCAGGGTGTCTATCAGTTTTGGATGCTGTCTCAGGCAAGGTTGAAGGAGTGCCTGCTTCCCATCATGAATCTACTGGATGCCTGCGCGTCCTCCAGAGCTTCTGGGTTAACCAGCTCCTCTTTCTACAATGGCTCCTGGGCTTTGGAAATTCTTCATCCTTGGAGCAGAAATGTGCTTACTTGTGGTTTCCACCTGCTGCTCCTGCTCTGAGCTCTCGCCCAGATCAGAGCAGGTAAGTAAGTAACCCCTAAAGGGATCCCACCTGAGTTTGCAATATAGTCGTATTCTAGACAGAAGGAAGAACAGAGGTGTGCAGAGCCCCTCCAATGCAGCTGCCTCACCGGGTGATGATGAGGAACAAAGAAGGCGGTGCCTGCAAAGTGCCTCACACCGGGCCTGACTCTTAGAAAGTGTCCCACGAGTGCTAACCATTATGCTGAGCCTGCCTGAAGGGTGACTGCCAGGCCTATTTGAGAATTGCCATCTGATGGCAAAAAGCTATGTGGGCAGGCGCACAGACGTTTGGATTTGCAGCTATAAAAGACATGAGACAAAGATGCCCGCAGCTACATGCTGGTCCCTGTGTGGGAGGCTGAGTCCCCCAGGCTTGCTGCTGTTGTCCCCTCGGAGTCAGCCTGTAGTCCGGTTCACTTACCTTGGTACTGGGCGCTGAAGCCGCGCTGCCTGTGGTTGCCATCTGATGTGAAGTGCAGCCGCAGCCAGTTCTTGCTGCTGATGACAGGGGCTGGGAGGCTGGCTCCGGTGAACCTGCAAGGGACAGGATGCAGAGGGGTCAGGAGGAGCAAAGCAGGACACCTGGGGTTCCTGGAGGGCTGCACAGCTTTTTCAGGCAGATTATTAACATCCCTTCTATCCCTCAGCCAGATGCCTCCGGCCTGGAGCTGAGTTGAGCACCCCCTACCGATACACTGTCAGTACTGCACTGCATTTCTCATTTTCTGGGTCTTTGCTATCTTTTGCTTGGTGGGCTCTGCTCCCCTGTCCCCACTTTCTCCTGACCTCCCAGGACTCCAGGAAGTCCTTGGACTATCCCAGACCAGAAGAGTCTTCCTATTCTTCCAGACTTTAAAGCCACACAGATCTTAGTTCGTACTGGGTTTTCCTCACTGTGGCTTTGTATGCAGCACCTGATCTTTCTGAACACCAGCTCCTGAGCCTGTGGAACTAAGTGAAAAAAATGTCTGGGCACCGAAGTCACCCCAGAACCTGGCACATCTCAGCTTCCCTTCGGTAGCTCCTTCCCTCCTGTAACTCCACCACATTCAATTTCCATTATAATTCGGCCGTCAGTGTGCCTCCCTAAGATCACCCCTCAATGGGGAGCAGTGGGGCTGAGTAAGAGGGACTAGCTGTGCTACGTGACCTCAGGACAGTCACTTAAATCCTCTGAGACTCTTCCACCTATAGGACAGGACCAATGATGTCCCTTCTCAAAGGGTTTCCACAAGCCAACACACAGCAGACAGCACACAGTGGTCTCCCCCGCAGCAGCAGCAGCAGCAGCAGCAGCAGCAGATAGGGCACCTGGCAGGGGTGCCAGGGTCCCAGCAGAAAGCAGGTCTAATGAAACATTCCTCAGGAAGGTGACAACAGGCTGTATCCCCACCACTGACTGAGCAGGAAGCAGGGCTCTGGGGCTGGTGGTGGTGGGGGGTGCTCATCACCATTACCCTTCCTGGAGCAGAGAAACAAGGAAGTACTGTCAGACCCAGATCTTCTGTGGGCTGATTTGTGAAAGTCCATGGAACAACCAGAACTCACTATCTTTTTCCCCTCCTCCAATTCCCTGCTGATGCTCCTGTTGATCTCTCCAATTGCAAACTTTATGGAAAAGCTATGTTTGCCCACAGATGTCTCCCCAAGTGGGGGAGAGGGGTGGGAAAGAAGGCAAGAGGGGGGAAGCTGAGGGGGCAGCCAACAGAGTGGCTCTCCATAAATATACATTAAACAAAAGATTTAACCAAGGCGCTTAATACCCTGTGAACTGAATTTTTACTACAATGGAAACGCTGACACACACAAAACTCTAGGAATGTAACCCATATTGCTTGGGCAGGAACTATTATAGAAACCAATTACTGTATTTCACCAGATCCATTTAAAATAGTTTATTACAGGGTGAGTCATTTAAGTTTTCTAAGGAGCTGCAAATGGTGCTGTGGGCTTCCCCCCACCTCAGGCCAAATTCAATTCGAGCTCAATGGCAGAGCTGCGAGGCTATTTACATAAAGAAGGAAGGCTGGGGAGAGCTCACCTGAATAATTCAGAACCCCAAGCTCCTTCTTGAAAAATGGTGGGGAGGAGGTGCCTATCAGTTCCCATTGTAGTTGGAAGTTGGGGGCAGAGCCTCTGAGTTCTGGGTTGCAGTAGATGAGTGCCTAGCTCCCTGAGCATGGCTTCCCCAGGGCCTCCTGGCACCCCCATCTCTCCTATCCTTCCCAGCCTCTTCCCATCCCCAGGAGTCCTGGTAACTGATCACCCCTGAGTGCCAATCTTTGAAGGTCCAGTGTGTGTGGTGTGTGTGTGTGTGTATACACTCTGCTCTGCCTCTGTCTCTCCAAGCACATGTGTTGAATGTTGGAGGTCTCCCTGGCCCTGCTTCCTTTTGTAGTAGGATCCTCCCCAGCTGCTATGGAGAGAGAGATAACGCTGGGTTTGATGCAAACTTTTCCAACAGAACCTAGAACCACGGCTTCTATCTGGACTCAGCCCTCAGAAGGCTGAGGTAGGAGGATTGCTGGGAGTTTAAGGACAAGAGACTTTGTCTTAAAAATAAACCCAAACCAAATAAAATCGACAACAAAACCAACCCTTTCCACACCAGAGAGGACAAGGGTGACTTGCAGGCTGAAGTTATGCTGAGCCATAAGAGGGTCAGGAGTGAGGACCATGAGCACGGACCATACGCATGGACAGTGAACCAGGACTGCGAGTGTGGACATCAGCCATGAGCATGGACCGAGAGCATGGACTCATGTGAACTGCGAAGGGGGACCTCAGGGGTGGACTGTGGACTGTGTGTGAGAACTGGGAGTGTGGACCACACGCACATAAGGACCGTTGAGAGCATGGACTCACGTGAACTGCGAAGGGGGACCTCAGGGGTGGACTGTGTGTGAGAACTGGGAGTGTGGACCACACGCACATAAGGACCGTGAAGGAAGGTCATAAGCGTGAACCATGAGCATGGACTGTAGGGACTGTGAGTGTGAACTGTGACCTCCTTTACAGGGAATTCTGGGAAGATGAATCCTTAGTCCTAGGAAGCAGACCGGAGGTTGCTGGAGCTGGGTGTGAGAGCTGCAGGCTAGGAAGGACTGCATGTGGTTACTTTCTTAGGCAGCTGTGAACTGAACAGAAGGCCACTTTTGCAATGCCCCTAAGAGCTGTGCGTTTACAATGGACAGAGTGATTTTATGCAAATGACACTTAACAGAGTTAATTAAAATGGAAACAAAACTGAATGAATCTCCAAGGCCTCCAGTCTTCAAGAGTAAAATTCCCTACCTTGAACCTCCAAGGCCATGGGCAAAGTTTTCCCTCTCCTGCTTCCATTTCTAACTACCACTTCTGTGTTCCAGCCACTTGGACTTCTTGCTATGAAAAGCTGGCCAAACCTGCTTCTGCCCCAGGGTCTTTGTACTTGACCAGTTCCCCCTGCCTGCTATGCTGGCTCTCCTTACAGACTTTCACCTGACTCTCCATCCTGGAGCCACCCAGCAAGAGTCAGCAAGAGTCAACATTCTTAGCGGAGCCTTCCTGGTCTGTTTCTTACTTGGTCTGTTTCTTACCTGATCTTTCAGCCTGACCCACCCCCCCTCCCCATTCTCTAGTCAAACGGAAAAGCAGCTGGAATAGCATTCTTATCTGTCTTTGTGCTCTTAATTGGGTCACCTGGCTGCACACAGAGATGAAGAAACTCACTGAAGTTCACACAGTGATGAAATGGCAGAGGTGGGATTCAAACCCAGACCATCCCATTTAGAGCCTGGTGCACTCAGCCAGGGTATTACTGCGTTACTGTCACGTGTGTGTGCACGAGTAGCACCATCTAGGCTGAATTCCATCCTATGTCTTCCCCTTCTCTCCTTCCTTCCTCCCTCCCTCCAGGATGCTCTTTAATTTTGCTCCCTCTTAGAATCATAATTAAAGGAGAGAAACACTAAGAGAGGGGCTCCCCTTCAAACCTTTCTGTCCACATTAACTTCTCTCTGGGGGGCCTGGGGAATTCCAAGTTTGCCCAGGAAATCGCTAACGGAGTATAACACAGAATGTATTTAAGCAATTACACTAGAGGTGTTTTTTCTTTTTGGTAAATTGACTTCTGTTAAATGGGGCTTCATTAATGGAATCTGGCTTGGGGAGAATAAAAAAGAATCACTTCTTTTAATGCCCATATTTGATTAGGGGAAAGTGGCTTTGAGCGACTCGCCTCTGCAGAGCACTGCAAGCCTTTGCTCCTGGCTGCAGGAAAATTCTGAGCCTGGCTTGGGAAAAGCATTTCTTCAGGGAAACTTCTTTTGGAGTCAGCATGTTGGGGTGCTGAGAGATGCCCCACCTCCACTCCGTAATAATGACTTCCTGGGGACTAGGGCCTTCAGCTGAGAGACAGAGACTGATTTAAATGCCAGCATCCCTGAAAACAGCCAACCTCAGGGGACAAGCATGCAGGCAGTCACCAGGCATCCTGTTAGCAAAGGCTATGTGTTTGTTGTGAGTTCCGCTTTTTAGATAGGGAAATCCCTGCAAAGCCTGTCCCTGTACTATACATGGCCTCTCTTAGGGTTACTGCATCTGGCACGAGCTCCCAGGCCTCCTCAGCTAGGCAGTGGCTCTGAACCAGCAAGGCCCACTGGGATTGGGACTTGAGGGCTTTCTACACCCTAGTCTCCAGTGTGAGACTAGGGCCACATAGAGTACAGCTTCTGGCTCCTCAGGGCCAGATAGGGGAGGTAGGTGTTGTCCTATCCTACTTCTTCCCCACCACTTGCCAGGGGGCGGAAGGGACAATCCTTCTGAAAGTCTTCCTCGGTGGAGGCTGAGTCTGGCTCCCCACCTTGGCTGCCTCTTAACTCTGAACTGGGTATTTCCCAGCTCACTCCAACATCTAGGCTCCCCATAAAAACTTTCCATGATCACTTTTCTATCAGCCAATGTCCTAGTGCTCTTGCTGTGTCAGGAGAAAGCTCTTTCCCAGGACAGTCTCATGATTGTTCCTGCTTTCCAAAAGCGGATGAATGCCCACAGGTGAGTCTAGGTATCTGAGAAATGAACTCTGGGTTGAGTCCCCCGGGCTTGGGTCCACCTTCCTCCCCAGTGGGGCTCTTTCCCAGCAGCACCTGCCTGCAGCTCTGAAAGGCCTGGGCTACCCAGCCATGATTCCACTGCCAGGGATAGGAGTGACAGATAGGGGCATTTTTATCTATAAGGACACATTTGCAGTTTATGTATAGAAAGGAATATGCACACAGGCATTGTAAGCGGCCCAGGAGGTACACACTGCTGCTTTGTTCTGAGTTAACCTTTAACCTAGATGTAAGCTATTCTCTAGAAAAGCAGGGACTCAGTGTCCTTGGCCTATGTGTGTGTGATGACTAGTTTAAAATATCAACTCACCACAGCCAAGAATTACCTGTGAAGAGAACCTCAGTGAAGGCAACATCTAGACCAGGTTGGCCTGTGGAAATGTCTGTGGGGGATTGTCTTGATTGTCAATCCATTGTGGGTGGAACATTCCCTAGGCTGGG